ATGGTGAACGACTTGATCTCTTGTGTGGGCCCTCCCTCCTTCTCCTCTCATAAAATGGGGGGCGGCATCTCCTTCCAGCACTTGTAACCTCAGGCTGTAATCTCCTTATCAACAGGCTTAACCCTTTTCCCTCTGTGTAAACTGACTGCCAGAGAAAGGAGATGCCATCCAGATGTTCCAAACTTGTTTTTATTACCAATGTGGAGTGAGGAAAAGACTGAAATGGGGCAGGGCCATTGGCAAAGGAAGGGCCGGTGATGAGGATGCTATGAGGAGGGCTGTGGATCACGACCTGTCAAGACTTGAAAGAATCAGATTTGATCTTCTTGTTCAGGCATGTCTGACTCTTCATGGCCCCATTTGGAGTTTTCTTGGCAGAGATAACTGGAGTGGTTTGCCATTTCCTTCTCCAGTTCATTTTACAGATGAGGAAACTGAGGCAAACAGGGTTAAATGACTTGCCCAGGGTCACCCAGCTAGAGAAAGTGTCTGAGGCCGGCTTTAAACTCAGGTCCTCCTGCCTCCTGCCTACTGTGCCTTCTAGCTGCCCTGGATTTGGTCTAGGGCAGATTTAAGATAAAACATGGTAGCTCCCTCAACTAGATATGAAGTTCTACTTCATACCAAAGACATGGTAGACTTGTAAATGATATTCTGGAGGACTGAGTTGACCAGGACAAAAGGTAGAGGTGTAGAACAAATGAAATTCAGCATTAAAAAGAAACCAACAGGTAAACAACCCTTGACCAGGCACACCCAGCAATAGAATGGGCTGCATTTGGACATAGTCAATTCTTTGTCATGGGAGGTATAAGCAGGCTGGATAAAAACTTAAAAAAAAAAATTCTAAGGCAATTGGGGTTAAGTGCCTTGTCCAGGGTCACACAGCTAGTAAGTGTCAAGTGGTTGGTCTGAGGTCGGATTTGAACTCAGGTCCTCCTGACTTAAGGGTTGGTGCTCTATTCACTGTACCACCTAACTGCCCCTTTTTTAAAAAAAATTTGCTTTGTTTTAATCAGCCCAAATCTGTGTTCTTACCTTCCTACTCTACCCCCATCTCCAATTGAGAACTTGAGAAAAACAAAACCTATCATCAGCATGTGTGGTCAGTCAAAACAAATTTCCACATTGGCCACGTCCAGAAAAAATCTGTCTCGTTCTGCATTCCCCTCTCTAGAAAGAGGTGGGCAGCGTGTATCTTGGTTGATCGTACACTGGATGAGAGTTCAGCACATTTCTGTGTTCCTCCAGTTCAAGATTTGTCGTCTTTTGGGATTTCTCTTTTTGAGCATGTTCTCCTGAGTGCACTTTCTGTATAACATTTCCACAGATCTTTATTAAGCCTCTGCTCTGGGCGAGGTTTATTAGCACTGGGAAGAATGAGAGTGTCTGCCCTCATGAATAAATAGTCTAGTGAGAGGTGAAACACATACCTAAATAATTACACGAGCTGTCAGTGACCCTAGGCTCCGAGGCGGAAGGATTTAGAACCGGCAGGGACCTTCGTCATCAAGGGCTGTGCTTAGGAGGGGACAGGCAGAGACAGAAGTCATCTGAAGAAAGTGACAGCATCACTTCTGCCTGGATTGTGGGGGAGGGGAAGAGGAAGAAAAGTTCTTTCAAAGAGATGGCCTCAGCATCTAGGCCTTGGAGGATGGAAGGGATTTCAGCAGGTGGAACCGCAGTGAGAATCCGTTCCAGATGCAGGGGAAGCCAGGACAGCCTCATTCAGTGGAGAGTGGTCCCAGCTGTCTGAAGCAAAGTGCAAGTAAAGAGAGTTTGGATGCAGACTTTTGGATTCAAGTTCTTGAATGCTAGAGCTGGATCATAGATTTAGGGCTGGAGGAGATCTCCCAGGTCAGCTAGACCAGCCCTCTGCTTTTATAGATGAGGACACTGGGGTGCAGAGGTGGGTGCCTCATGGGAGGTGCAGGTGGTGGGGATCCCCTGAAGGGAGGCATTTGGGCTTGTTTGTTAGGGAGATAACGCTGGCAGGGAGGGAGGGATGGTGGAGGCATTTGAGAGGAGAGAGGCAGGAGGCCTTGAAATGCTCAGTGCCTCCTCCTGGACACGGTGAGAATCTCAAAGGTGAGAGAATGTCTCGAAAGGGAAGGTGACGTGTAGCTGATGTTTGTGTCTAGCAATTGGTTATTTCCTCAAGGGACAGCCTCCCCTTAACTCATTTGATCTTCAGAATAACACCGAGTGAGGTTGGCATTGTCCGGTGGTGTTGTCTAGCTGGTAGTTGAAACCAAGACTAAAGCAGTTAGTGGCAGCACCCTGGAGTGAAAGGTAGGCTGGCCCTCAGGTGATTGGCTTCACTTCCGTCTGCTTCGCTTTCCTGCTCTGGAAATGGGATGTTTCTTCTTTTCTGCAAACATGTGGCTTGTCTGAGGTTCTACACTAGCAAGTGTTACAGTTGCTCCCAGAAGCCAGGTCTTCTAGACTTGGGCTCCCATTTAGAGGCATTCGTGGTGAGTGAGCGAGGATGAGTGTGTGTGACAGCGTGCATACCCCAGTGGAATGGGTCTGGTTTGCCCTTTTCCTTTCTAATCTGGCACAGCATGTGTTCACCCCTTATGTTCCTTCACCTACACCGTGCTGCCTCCCATACTCAGTGTTGAAAATCTCATCTGAAACCCTTGAGCGTTTAGATAAATATTGTGTTTGTCTTTATATCACTTCTTTGACAGCTTCTCAAAGGTCTGGCTTTTTTGGGGTAAGAGAGGAATCACCCTGGCGGTTCATTTTTTATTTCTGATCTGTAACCGTAAGGCTTATCATTTTTCCTGAAGTGAGACTGCATTCGGGGGATGAGAGGGGAGAGGAAAGCTAATGACAGAGCTCAGTGAGGGCCTGGCCAGGGCTGGATCTTAGCCACAAAAGGCACATTAGGAGTGTTGAGAGAATAAAGTCACTCCCAACGATTACAATTGTGGACGGAGAGACTTTGTTTAGTCCTTGGGCTCTGTGGGCAGTGGCCGTCTTTGGGGTCCACTCAGCTGGTTTTGTTCATGCACGTGTGACATCTTTCCCCGATAACTTCATGACTTTTCTACTTAGGCATTTGGAGCAGTAGCATTGTGCTGTTCAGCCTGTGTTGTGCTTACTAATGGAACATTGACCGTCGCTCATCAGGTGTGCATTTACGGTGACTCTTAAGACTCATGAGCAGACGTTTCTACTTTAAAAAGGCCACCTTGACGTTGGCCCAGTGGTCTGCTTTTTATGAGTGGGCATCTGGTTTTGCAAATATGCCCTTCCCTGAGGAGCTAGAATTTCCCATCTGAGAAGTCCCGCTTTCTCTGGCAGTTGGACAAGATGACTTTAAGGGCCTTTGCCAAATGCAGTTCTGTGTTTGGGATTGCCACTTGTCCTCTCTGTGACTTCACTCAAGTCACTTTGCTTTTCTGGGCTCTAGTCCTCCCCTCTAAGATGGGGAGACTGGATTATATGGCTTCCAAGGTCCTCTCCAGCTCCAGATTTACAGTCCTAGGGAATTACTGCAAGATTTGCTTTTGTTTCCTTAAAGAAAAACCTGCCTGCTTTTCAGTTTTATTCCATTACTGCTCTCCCCAACCACCCTACCCCCCACTCTTCTGTGACCCTTTTGGAGGTTAGAGATGCTTCTAAAACTTTAAATTCTTTTTGTTTGTTTTTTGTTTTTTTTAGGGCAGGAATGGTTTTATTTTTTCTTTGTAAGCCCATTGTCTAGTACAATGTCTGATACTTGGTAGGTGCTTAATAAAAGCTCATTGGATCAAATGTTGGCTCCATCACTGCCCCCTAGGGAAGCTTAGAGTAGGAAAAGATCTTACAGGACAACTTGTCCGTGTCTCATTTTACAGAGAAGGACACTGAGGGCCTAAATAGTGATTTGTCTGAGATCATGATCTGTGAATGAGAAAGACCTGGGTAAGACTTGAAATTCTTGGAGTCTTTTGCAGATGGAGCTTTTGTTTGACCCATTGCTTTGCTCTGACCCAGTCAGTGTTCCTTGGTGGTTGTTCTTTTCCTGCGTCAGTCCTTAAAACAGCGAGATGTCAGTCGTTTTTCAGTCACGTCTGACGCCTCATGACCCTATTTGGGGTTTTCTTGGCAAAGATGTGGAGTGGTTTGCCATTTCCTTCTCTAGCTCATTTTACAGATGAGGAAACTGAAGCAACATTCCCCCCCCCACCAAAAAAAAGGGTGAAATGACTTGCCCGGGGTCACACAGCTAGTAGGTGTCTGAGGCCAGATCTGAACTCAGGAGGATGAGTTTTTCTGCCTCCAGGCCCAGCACTCTAGGCACTATGGCGCCACCCAGTGGCCCCTAGAACAATGATTCCTCCTACAAAGCCAGCCTACAAGGGGGACTTTGATTTGGGGTGCTGTTAGCAGAGAGCTGTAGGGAGTCTTTAAGGTGAAGTCTTTTTGAGGGCTGGATTCTTGTCTCTGGACATCACTGGTACAGCCATATCTCTGGGAAAAGCTTAGATCCAGGTTCACTTGTATGTATGCCTCATAGGTTCATACTTCTCAGGGATTGTTTTGTAACTAATCTCTACATACACAACAAAACATAATGTGAAACGTCACTGAACATTGTGAGTCTTAGAGCATTTTTACCTAATTAGACATTCTCAAATGTAAATGGTCAGCCCTCTCTCCTGAGCTCTAGTCCCACCTTCCTGGCTTTTGGATAGCCCAGATTGGGTGTCCTGTAGACATTTCAGATTCCAAACAAAAGTCATTATTTTCCTCCCAAACCCTCCCCTCTCCCCCACTTTCCTGGAGGAGAGCCATTTTCATATTTGCCTTCTGCGGTGGATTTCATTTGAAAGCAAATTACTGATTTGGAGTGTCTGTACTTCCTTCTGTCATGGTCTCCTAACTCCTCAGGAATTGAATTTGAAAAGTAAAGTAAAAATGATTTCAGTATGTCTTGACTGCAGATAGCTCTGCATTGTGCCAGTAACAGTGTTGGAAGCTAATGGTGACATGTCTTCTGTCTTTAGGGTCTGTTCTGGATATTATTAAGCACATTGTTGCCAAGGGGGAACACAAAAGTGGAGTCCTGGATGAGGCCTGCATTGCCACGATTCTCAAAGAGGTTCTGGAGGGCCTGGAGTATCTGCATAAAAATGGACAAATCCACCGGTAATGTAAAAGAGAAGGGGAAGGCAGCTTCCTGTCCTTCCTCTTCTGTGACCCCCAACGATGTCTCAACCAACATATTTCCAAACTTGCTGTATCACCCCACTGCCAGGGTTGGCCTTCTCCCCTGAGGCCATCCCTCTGCCCTCTAGTGGACAACAGCAGGTCTCTCCAGTCAGGGTTGGGGGCAGGAGGGAGGGTCCCGTCTTCCCTTCCTTTTTCACCTCTCTTTGCTTACATCTCCTACCCCCTTTTCCCTTATCCCTCTTCTCCTCCTTCCTCACTACTTTCTTCCCCTTCCTCACACCTCTCCTCCCATTTTAAACTTTTGTGGGCCAAAGATTAGCCACCTAAAAAACCTTTCTCTCATTTGTTAAATTGTTTGAATAGACCTAGCTGACCTCTAGGGTGGTGTTTTACCTAGTTGTAGTTTCTGGGGCCAGTGAAGAATGTTAGGTGTGGTCTACCTGTAATCAGTGCTCAGGAACAGAAATAACAGGAAGGAGATTTCCAGCATACACTAGTGAAAGATTAGGGTTAAAGCTAACCCCTTCCTGGGCTGAGCTTCTCCATCCTTTAGTTATCACAAAGCCATCATAATTGTCATTTAATGAGCGAAGTCCTTGGTTTAGAATATGAAGCCGTCTGTATGTATATTCATTCAAAGTTGAAATTCTGGTGAAGCCGGCCCCTGCTCCTGAATTCCCAAGACCGTTTGCTTATTGTTTTGTACCTGCCCTCCTCTCCCTGTACCACAGAAGTGCTGTGAACCTTCATTGAACGTAGGCAGTCTTGGAGTATTTCTACTTAATTGGATGTTCTCAGCTAGAAGTCGTCAGCCCCTCTCCTGAGTGCTAGCCCTGCGCGCCTGGCTTTTGGATCGCTCAGCCTCGGATTTATTGTTTTTCCTCCCAACTCTTCTATCACTGTCAAGGCCATGCCCAGCCCCCAGTCACCGAGGCTCACAGCCTCGCTTCCATCTGTGACTCCTCACTCATACTCTTCTTCCTCCTCCCCACTTCCCGGTTTCCTGGGCCTCCTTCAGGTCCCAGCTCAAATCCCAACTTCTGCAAGAAACCCAGGCCTTCCCTCCACTGATTAGCTCAAATGCGTCCTGTTTATGTCTTGAGTTTGACCATAATTGTTAACATGCTGTCTTCCCCTTTAGACCCTGAGCTCTTGAGATCAGGGACTGGACTTTTTTTAACCTTTCTTTGTGTCCCCCATGCTTAGAAAAGAAGGGAACAAGCATTTATTAGATGCTTACTGTGTGCCAAGCACTTCACGGTATGATTACATTTGATCCTCGCACCAACCCTGGGAAGCAGGGACTGTTGTTATCCCCATTTTACAGTTGAAGAAACTGAGGCAAAGAGAAGGTTAAGTGACTTACCCCACGTCACACAGCTAGTTTGTGTCTGAGGCAGGATTTGCACTCAGGTCTTCCTGACTCTACGCCCCGGGCACTATCCACTGTACCACCTTAACTGCCAGTGCCTGGCACATAGTGGCTGCTTGAGAAAGGCCTGCTGACTTGACTGAGCTTAACTCACCCCGCCAATCCAGGTTGTTGTCCAGGCTGTTTGTTTTTTGCTCGCCCTGTCGCACTCACGTGGGCACTCCCTCTCGCCTGGATAGTTTCAGTGGCCTTCTCCTTGTTCTCCGTGCTTCCCCTCTCTCCCCACTCCATCCAGCCTCCACTTAGCTGCCAGAGTGATGTCCTCAAGCGTGGGTCTGACCGTGTCTCGTACCCCTCCCACTCTCATCCCCCTCAGTAAACTCCTCTGGCTCCTCGTCACCTACAGAAGCCAGCCGGAAGTCTTCTGCTTGGCACGGAAAGCCTTTGCCAGCCTGATCCCGTCCTCCCTTTCCTTTCTCCTGCACACTCTGAGGTCCAGCCACACTGGCCTCCATTTGCCTTATCCTACAAATGTGACTGAACACCAAGTTTTCCATTTTTTTCGCCCTTCTGTCTTTGTACAAAAAATCCCCTTGAGTTCTTCAGGGTAGAAATCACATGGGTCATTTAAAATACGGAATAATCTGAAAGAGCCGGATTATTTGGGGGGCGGTGTTTTGAGTGGGGCATACAGCATTTATTTGTATTGTTTATTCATCTAGGGACGTCAAAGCTGGAAATATTCTTCTGGGTGAAGATGGCTCGGTGCAGATTGCAGGTAATGTATCATCCTCCCTCTTGGAAAGAAGCTGAAGCTAGAATGCTTAGTGTTTGTGACCCAGTATTTTGCCTGGGTGCTAACAAAGCTGCTTTTCATTATGGTGCCATTGCTCTTTGGATTGGGGTTCAGGTACTGGGAAAACGGAAGTGGGCTTGGCCTCCTGGTTCCTATGGGTTTCCATGTTTGTGGGGGGTCAGTTTTGTGTCTCATGGCACTTTCGTCTTTTCACATCCTCTTGCCTGTGTCACATGGAAGTTTGGGAAGAGTGGATGTATATCCTGCGGTTCTCTGGGCAGCACAGTGCAGTGATCGGAGGCAGGACCCTGGGCCTCACGTCCTGGATCTTATCCTCCGCTTGGGTTGCTGTGGGCATGGTCTCCTCTCCTGTCTGTCTGTGTCTTAGTTTCCTTTTGTCTGAGATGTGAGGAGTAATTCTGATTGTTGTGTAGCGAATACCCGCTAGACCTGAAGGCCCTAAATGAATGGGAGGCAATTTTGCTGCTGTTCCTTTATCGCTTAGGAAAGTGTTCAAGCAGGGACTCCTGGCATGATGGTAAATTAGATACTTCTGAATCTGAATCTAAACAGAGATGTGGAAAGCCATAGGAAGTTCCTGCCACCACCACCTACCTGGGAGGACAAAACTGGAATTAGATACAGTCTCATTTTTTAGCTTTATAAAAAGAGATCATTTACCCGACACTTGAGTGAGGTGAAAGACAGCCAGCTGGGTGATCACCGTGGGTGCTTTCCACTATGGCGGAAACAGAACCGAATGGAAGAGAGATGCCCTTAGAGATGACAAGGTCTTCCAGGTGTTAATAATATATGATATGATAATAGTAATAACCAAAGCTGGCATTTATGTAGTGCTTTATAAATATTTTATTTTCTGCCTTTGAGAACCGTTTGAGAAGGCTTCGGCAAACTGCCAGTGAGTCCATGCCACAAAAAAGTTTTAAGAAACCTTGCAGTGCAGGGAGGACCCAGAATTAGGACCAGAGGCAACTGCTGGCACCATCCTTGCCACCATGTTGTAGGAGGAAGGATGTGCTGTGAATTAAGGCCTTTTAACATAACAAAACAGCTGGTGGTGTTCTGCTGGGGCAACGTCTGACAGACTCGCTTTAGCAGCAAGGTCTAAATTTGTGCTTTGTGGTTAAAAATCCTCTCCACTATTGCAGTGGTGCGCTCATCACATTGATTTCTGGCTTTGAATCTTGGCTCAAGGAGAATTGCAAACCCTGAATTGGCTAATGACAAACTGCTTCATCTCATCAACGCTTACATTTCATCTTCCTCTGTGAGCAGAGGTAGCTGAGGCGTCTCCTGAGCAGTGGACTTTACCGGGGCCGTTGGGTCAGTAAAATTGGATGGACAAGGGTGACCGTGAGACTCTTGAATGTTCAGTCTAGAATTCCTCTTGGAGTAGAATGTTGCCTGCAGACACTGCTGGGTGTTTTGAGGTTCTCCGTGGGCCCTCTTTGATGATACTGATGACCCCCATTTGTAATGCACTTTGCCTTCTGAGGTAAGGATTTCTAGGATTGTTACTTTGTTATTCCCATCTTGCCGCTGAGGAAGCTGAGGCTCTGAGAGGGTTAGGTGTGTCTGAGCTGAGAGTCTGTGCTCAGTTTGCGACTGTAGGTCTAACTCCCCGGAGGCAGAGGAGGTGACCTCTCATTCTTTGTAAGTCTTGGGTTTGAAACCCTCTGGCTGATTGCCCCCATTTTGGATTGAGGAGCCTGAGTCCCCCATGAAGTGATTCAATGAGTAGTAACATGATAAGGGTGGCAGAGACAGGATGAGACCCTAGGGCAGAGGGACAGGGATACTGCATTTGTACCTACAGGAGCCACATGGCTTCATTTCCCACTGCCTCTGAGCTTGGACAGTCAGACCTCCACAGGACTGCCTCTGGGTGCTCGTCTGTAAAATGAAGGGCTTGGATCTGTGGACGAGATCTTGACATCTCCAGGTCAGTAGAGCTGGGGCTGTCTGCCAGCCTGGTGCTCTTCCCACCATGCCAGGTCATTGCCCTAAAGAGTTCCCTGAAGCACTTGTTTGATTTCTAGTAAACCCACAGTAGATTCCACTCCATCTGCTGAGTTCTTTTTATCAAGCTTGTTATCTTTTTTTTTTCTGCCTTCTCCTCTTGGCTGCTTTTCCAGACAGCCCTGCCGTGCAGCCTTTTACATGTTTACACGGACTGTAATCTTGCATAGGTCTTCTTTAGGGGAGTCAGCTTGATGCCCTAATTAGAAGGAAGTTTAGAATGCAAAATACACAATCTGGTGTAATCCCATCTGGCACTTTCTTGAGTGAGTGGGTGACATTCTGATTAGTGGCCTTATCCAGGAGCAGACCAAACACCTATGATTTCATTGGCATTCTGTTCAACTCTGTGTCCACTTAGTCATGCTCCCATCTGACAGAGTGTAAGCTTCTCAAGGGCTTTGTAATCTTTGTGATCCCAGGACCTCATACAGTGCCTGTACATCGGAGGCTGTTACTATTCAGTGCTTGTGGGTTGATTGACTGTTCACTCCACAAGGATTTTTAAGCACCTAGTAGGTGCCTGACGCTGTATTCAACCTGAGATATACAGAGATGAAATAAAAACTAGTTCCTGCCTTCAGGGAGCTTATGTTCTGTTGGGGTAGTGGAGGGACTGGAAACATACAAATGCATAGAATCCTTGGCAAGCTTAGCAGCTTGTAAAGTACCTTCTCAGGTACATTGAAGTTCAGTGTTTTTCCCAACGTCAACGTAGCTACTCAGTGTCTGGAGAGACATTTGAACCTCAGCCTTTCTGACTGCAAACACAGCTCTTTTTCCACAAGGCCATATTGCCTGTCAGGTAGATCATTGAGGAAATGGATAATTTTTGTTTTGGTTTGGTTTTTTTGGTGAGGTGGTCGGGGTTAAGTGACTTGCCCAGGGTCACATAGCTAGTAAGTGTCAAGTGTCTGAGGCCAGACTTGAACTTTGGTCCTCCTGACTCCAAGGCCAGAGCTCTATCCACTGTGCCACCTAGCTGCCCCAACTTTGTTTTGTTTTGTTTTGTTTGTTTGGTATTTTTTTTGGAAATGGGTAATTTTAAAAGGAAGTGGGTCACTCATGCAGTACCCATGACAGTTTGAGTGCTCCCTTTGTTCTGTTCTAGTGTACACAGATCTTAAGGGGGTATTTGATTGTACTGGGTGGAACGTCTGTGAGTCATCCATAGAAGAGCGTGGAGGAAGACCATTCAGGAGAAAAAGTAGGAATGGGTTGTGGTCTGTGCTGAAGAAGGTGCCCAGAAAACTCCCAGATGTGATTGGGAAAGACTTAGCCAAATAAATAAAAACAGAGCACAACACAGATAAAGTCAATTTGTGGTTTTCTGAGTCTACACGTAGTCCACAAGGATCCATTTTTCTGGATTTTGTCACTGCTGGTCTACATCAATGATAGGGCAGACCCATGAGAGTGTTAGCTAGCCAAACTTGAGGGGGAGGTAGGAGGAGCTGCTGCCCAGTGCAGGCAATGAGAAGGCGTGTTGTCTTCAGGGAATTAAAAATAGTAAACATGTTCTAATTCAGAGAACTCCCAGTTATGCAGATGGTTCCCAACTCACATGGCTCCAGCAGATTCATCTTGAGAGTAAGTTTGTACCAGTTTGGCCTTGTTCGAGCCGCAGTTCAGGTTTCCAGCTGCTGTGGTACAACATTCCTGCATTTGAAGAGTAGATTAGAAATAGTGATTGTCAAGATGTAGAAGCAGGACCGAAGTCACTTCAGTTCTGGCCTTTGGAATCTTTATTTGTGTTTAGAGTTTAAAACAGAGGAACCCAGAGTGAGTGGCAAGAGGGAACCTTTTGGTTTGCCAAGTGCAAATGGTGCATCCTACTTCAGTTCTTATTTTACTGAGTTTAAGTAATATCTTCAAATTTGAAATTTCTGATTTTTTAAATTGTTAATTGTTTTAAAACTAAAGAAATTAAGAAAATAAAACATTGAATTGCTCAGTGTCAGGAGGAAGCTGAGACCCTTTGAGATCCCGACCCCAAGGATCTATCATCAGATGGAAGGGAATCAGGAAGGAAGTGATAAGGAAAATGGAGGGGGTGGGGGGGGGCACTGAAAGTGCTTAAGATTTCAGGAAGTGGGAAACTCAAAGACCTTGAAGATAAACAGAAAAAATCAAAAGGAAAAACAGTAACAGCAGAAGGAAATATGGCCTCCAGATGTAGTAAGAGACCTCGGGCATCTACGAATCAATACTGTAGAATAAAGGAATGATCAGGAATTCGAGGAGAACATGGAACCACGACACAACTGTTCCTGAGTGATTTAAAAGAGGAATGAGAAGCATGAGAGCAGCCCTTACGGCCTGCACAGCAAACACAGTGAACAGAACAGAACAACATGAATCTGCAGCAGCCTCCCCAAAAGAAACAAAGAGAGAACAACAGACTGAAAATGCAAACACACAGAAATGAAGGACAGCCCTGAAAAGGAGAGGCGAAAACAAGATCATTAAAAGAAAATCTATTCACAATGCAGCAAACCCTCAAAGACAATCTAAGGATTGCAGGGCTCCTAGGAGAACCTGATAGGACAAAAAACCTAAACACCATAATGAAAGGAATAATACAAGAGAATGCCCAGACCCTCTGAACACGGCAAACGAAATTCTAATGGAAAGAATTCACAGATCACCTCGAGAAAAAAAACCCAAGGCTGCAAACTCCAAGACAAACAGTGGTTAAATTTAACAGCTCAGTTCTGAAACAAGAAGTTCTGCAAGCCATGAGGAGAAAGACCTTTAAATACCAAGGAAAGGATATTAGAATAATGTAGGACGATTTCACAACCACTAGAAAACGTAGGGGGGGAATGGAATCATGTGTTCTGAAGAGCCCGGGAGCTCAAGATGCAGCCCCGGGTGACCTGTCCTGCAAATGTGAGCTGAGCCATATAGGACAAAAGATGGACATTGAGTAATAGAGAGTC